GAAGAAGGAGAGCGTCGCAAAGGACGAGGACGCGGCCAGGGAACCCTACCAGAAGCTGAAGGAGGCCTCGGGCTCGCGCTCCTCCTCCCCATGGTCTGCTTCCTTATGCTGCTTCCTTGTCTTCCTCTTCGGGTTTTCGACCAGGTCTTGCCCCTCCTGCCTCTGTTCCACCGGGCGCTCTCCAGACGGCCTCGCCTGCGACGTGTCGTGGTGTCGGCGTCTGTTCCTCGGCGGAAGGCGGCGGAAAGAGGGCGGAAGGCGGCGGGGCACCTCCACCAGCTGAAGCTGTTGGAAGGCCACCGGCAGGCCAGCGGACGTAAAAACATGCGCCCATCAGGAGGTGCAATTTCGCTGGGGAGTTGGGTCACGGGCACGATTGTAGACGCAAGCATCGAGCTTTCGCGCCGAAGGCCGCCGGAAACCGCCGAAGGCCGCCAGAAACCATCGGATACCGCTGGAGGCTGCCGAAGAGCACCGAAGACCGCCGAAAACCGCCCGAGGGCCGCCGAGGCTCGCCGGCAAACCGCCCAAGGCCGCTGGGGAACGAGGGGTCCCTGGTCGAAGACGTCGCGATGTTTGAAACGAGGGGGTTCATGGCTTCTAGAGCAGGCCACATTCAGGAGGGAAAGAAACACACAGACACAATTAATCGTCGATTTCCCAGAAAATATGGGAAAATATGGGAAGTGGGGGGGAAGACAGAAACCCAGAAAATATGGAAAAATATAGGGGATATTTTTATTTGTGTGTATTCATTTGTGTGTCCTGGGGCCCCTTCACACATGTGCTGCAGCTGCTGCACCCGCTCCTCGCAGCTCCGCCTGCTCCTGGAGGCCATGTTCGAACAGGCCGCAGGAACGGCTGCGGTCTGTCCCTTAGGTCCCCCGACAGGTCGAGAAAGCAAATCTGCACCGGTTCACTCGACATCGGCGTTCGGGTGTGGTGGTGCAACCCCCAGTGGAGGCTATGTTCGAACAGGCCGCAGGAACGGCTGCGGTCTGTCCCTTAGGTCCCCCGACAGGTCGAGAAAGCAAATCTGCACCGCTTCACTCCACATCGGCGTTGGGGTGTGGTGGTGCAACCCCCAGCCGGTGTCGGTGATCGACACGTGTTCTGCCAGGTGCATTCGGTTGTGTTCGGGCGCCGCCTGGGTCCCCGGCCTTTCAGAACGCTGGCCCAGCCTCCGCATCTTCTGAACATGGGTATGAGTGGGACGGTATTCGCAGGGCTGCCCCAGTATTTGTGTCAGAGATGGCCAAAACGCTGACACAGGATTATTGGGCCATTGTTTCAAGCACCCGGCTGTAGTAGTGATAGAATTCTTTGCACGGCCACCCTTGCATGTCTTGTGGCCTGACGTCGCGCCCCCACATTGTGTCCTCCTGCGTACAGAGTGTGAGTGGAGGAGAGCCATGGGCCACTCATGGGATCGAGTCGAGCAGAGCCTTCCTGCTGCTCCTCGTCTTCATTTTGTTCCTGGACAGACGCGCGCGGAAAGAGGCCTACGCGAAGATCAACGGCCCCACCGCGGTGGTGCGACGCGCGCGCGAGGGGGGTGCGGCGGGAAGGTGAGGGAAACACTGAGGGGAAGAGAGAGAGGATTGGAGGAGGAGGGCTAGGAGGGCTAGGATGGCGTATTAGTGTTAAGTCGCATTGTATGGCAAGCAGCAGTGGGCTTGGTGATGGCAGCGTCTTGTTGGTAACAATTGTAGCGCTATTCTCGTGCGGTTGTGCTCGCATGTCGCGTGTCGAGCTTGCGCTTGTGCTCGCAAGCCGCATGGTGCATATTCCCACTCATCACATCCGAACTTTCATGTACCGATCGTTGTTGAAGGCGTGGCATTCGTTAATATCGTGGTAGTAGCAGCAGCAACACTAGTAGTAGTAGTAGTAGTAGTAGTAGTAGTAGTAGTAGTAGTAGTAGTAGTAGTAGTAGTAGGAGTAGGAGTAGGAGTAGGAGTAGGAGTAGGAGTAGGAGTAGGAGTAGTAGTAGTAAGTAGTAGTAGTAGTAAGTAGGAGTAGTAGTAGTAATAGTAGTAGTAGCCGTAGTAGTAGTAGTAGTAGTAGTAGTAGTAGTAGTAGTAGTAGTAGTAGTAGTAGTAGTAGTAGTAGTAGTAGTAGTAGTAGTAGTAGTAGTAGTGCTAGTCGTAGTAGTAGTAATAGTAGAAGTAGTAGTAGTAGTAGTAGTATAGTAGTTAGTAGTAGTGTAGTAATTAGTAGAAGTAGAAGTAGTAGTATTATTAGTAGTTTGTAGATAGTACGTAGTGCTATGTACTAGTACTACTAGTAGTAGTAGTAGTAGTAGTAGTAGTAGTAGTAGTAGTGATGACTGACCGTGATCGCGATCGTGAATGTGATGATGCTGACCGTGATCGTGATGATGACGATGATGATGCTGCTGATGATGACGATGATGACGACGTTTCTTCCCTCCTCCTCCCACCCTCGTCCTCTTCCTCCTCCTCCTACGCAGCTCCCCGTCCCCTATTCCACTCCTCCTCCTCCCGCCTCCTTCTCCCCATCCTCCTCTCTTTACCCATCCCCCGTCCTCCTCTTTCTCCTCCCCGTCCTCCTCCTCCTGCTGCTTCTGATCATCTCCCCCTCCGTCTTGTCCTTCCGTCTCATCCTTCCCCCCCGCTTGCTTCCTTTCTCCTCCTCCTGCTTCCTCCCGGCTTGCCCTCCTTCTGCGGCTGCTCTTCGTCTACCCGCTTCTTTCCCCTCCTCGGCCAGGTGCCCAACCTCGCCGAGGTGCTGGACGCCGTCGAGCAGGTGCACCTGACGGCGCCCGAGAGCGCGAAGGCGACCTGGACCAGAGGGGTGGAGGATGAGGAGGGGAGCGGCATTCCTTGCAATTGCTTTCCTCCGCCCTCCTCTTCCTTCATCTGGCTCCCCATCATCCTCCCGCCCCCCTCCGCCAGTTGTCACTTTTTTTTTGTTTCTCTCTCTCTCTCTATCCCTCTCTCGTTGCCTTTCTCTTTTATCCCTCTCCCTGTATCTATGCACTTGCATACATAACTACACTTAGATTTGTACGTATGAATGCATTCACGCATGTGTGTGTATGTATGTGCGCACGTAAAAACTCACGTATGTACGTATGCAAGTATGTACGTGTGTTTGTGTGTACGCATCTATGTATGCATGCATTAATGAATGACTATACATGCATGCCTGCATGCCTGTATCATGTTTGCACATGCGTAGGCATCGAAGCAGGTTGATAGGTATAAACGCATGCATGCATGTATGCAGATGTTGAGGTACGTATTCATGTACGCAGATCAAGCATGTATGCATGTATACATATATCGATATATGTATATGTATGACTGGATGCTTTTGTATACGTGTATGTCTGTATGCATGCATGTATACATGTTTGTATGCACGTAAGTATGTATGTGTGTATGCATGCACATTGATGTAGATGGTGTGTATGTCTGCGCATGTCTTCATGTGTATCCACATGCGCATTTACACACATATCTTCTATATACAGATGTTATCCGTGTGTGTGTGTGTGTGTGTGTGTGTGAGTTGTCTTACGCAGCACCGACGCCCCCTCGGGGCTTGTGTAGTTAGACGTCACATGTGAAGCGGAAGTCGACTCATGCGATGCATTTGAGCTCTTCTGACTCCTCTTCCTTTTCGTCCTCCTCCTCTGCCTTTCGTCCTTTCGCGCTCCCTTCCCTCCGCCCTCAGACTCCCCCGATGAGCTCGTCTTCATTTTCGTGTGCCCATTGACTGTGGCGTTCATCGTGTTCTCGTGCTCTCCCATCGGTCTTCGATCGCCAGTCGTCGATCCTGCGGAAACGCCGCCCAGAAGACGGGCGCCCAGGGCCCCGAGAGCGTGGAGGGCTGCTCTTCTGCACGCCTGCGAGGGGGCCTCTCGCCCCTCGTTCGGCCCCCCCTCTCTCAGAGGCAGTCTTGAAGCCCCCCCGGGGGCCGTTTGGGAAGGAGGAGGAGGAGGAGGAGGAGGAGGAGGAGGAGGAGGAGGAGGAGGAGGAGGAGGAGGAGGAGGAGGAGGAGGACGAGGAGGCCCCCCCGAGGGGCCGTTGGGGAGCCCCTGGGCGTCTCGCCTGGGCCTCCCGGGAGCCTCTCGGGGGGCCCGCCTCGGCCGCCCGCAGGCGCCTCTCTCGGGGCCGCCGCGGGGCCCTCTTGGGCGGCCTCGGGGCGCCCGTGGGCCGTCCTGGGGCCGTCCGGGCACCGTCCGGGTTAGATGTGTTTGGTGGTTTCATGGTGTCATCGTGATTCCCAGACCCCCTCGAGTATTGAAAAAATCATGACGGGAGGTTTTTACTAATTTTCGGCCTCCGGGGGCCCTCACCAGGCCTCGGGAGCGTCAAACAACGACTCAGGATGCAAAGCCGGTTATGGGGAAAGGGTCGGGACCTCTGGAGGGCAACGTAATGAAAAAATCATTACGTCGGGGGTCTGGGTTACATGTGTGCGTGCATTTAAGTGTGTGTTGGTGCGTGCTTGTGCGTCCAGCACGACACCCAGTTAGATGACGATGTGCGCGTATACGGAACCACGGGACACCCGCAGGACCACCGCGGGACAACCCATGGGACAACCCGCGGGACCACCACGGGACAACCCATCCCTGGGCTGTCTTGGTCCTCTCGGTCCTCCCAGACCCCCTCGAGTCATGAAGAAATCACGACGCGAGTTTTTTTCGCTATTTTCGGCCTCCAGGGGCCCTTGCCGGCCCTCAGGCCCGTCCAAAAACGACTCAGGAAGAAAAGCCGGTCCTGGGGAATGGGTCCGGACCTCTGGGGGTCGCGTCATGAAAAAATCATGACGTCGGGGGTCTGGGCTTGTGGGTTGTCGTGGGCGCCTCATGGGCCGTGCCGGGGCCGTCCGGAGCTGTCTTGAGGCCCTCCTGGGGGCCTCTTGGCCCGTCTGGCGTCGGGCTCGAGAGCCTCTGAGGCAGTCTTGGGCGTCTGAGGCCATACACGCACGCAAAGGGGGGTGGGGCGGTCTCTGCTCGTCGGGGCCTTCGCCAGGGTCGTCGTGAGGGTTTCTCTGCAGGCACGTCTTCGGGGTTCCCGGAGCGGCTCTGAGGCCATGCCCGGACCTCCTGGGGGCCCGCGGAGGGCCCGGCGGAGGCCCGCGGGGGCTGGGACTTTTTTTTTTGCGACCTCCTTGGGACTTTTTGGAGGACTTTTGGGGGACTTCCTGGGACTCCTTCGGATTCCTGGGGCTCCTCTGAGACTTTTTCTGACTTTTGGGACTTCTTGGGGACTTCTTCTGACTTTTGGGACTTTTTGTTGCGACCTCTGTGGCTTTTTGGAGGCTTTTTGGCGACTTTTTGGAAACTTCCTGGGACTTCTCTGGATTTCTTGGGGCTCCTCGGGGCTTATGCGGACTTCTGCGGGCTCCTCGGGGCCCTGCGGCGGCCTCGTGGAAGCCGCCGGGGCCCGCCCAGGAGAGCAGGTCTGCGGCGGCCGGGGACCGCCAGCACCGCGGGCACGCTGGCCACCCCCTCCCAATCGCCGAGCGCGCTCCACTGCTCGCAGAGTGCCTACTCGCAAACGTCAGGAAGACATGTGTCTCCCTCTCGGTTTTTGGACCGTGCAGCCCCAGCGTCGGATCCAGGTCATTTGCGAGTAGCTAATCTGCGAGTCGTGGAACGCGCTCGTTTACCCAAGACCGGCCGGACCGAGCTCCTGGTGGACTGGTTTGGGGAGGGGTGCAGTGGAGACCCGTGCCAAGAAGCACCCTGCTCGCCTCCAGGGTGCCCTGGGTTTCTTGGGTTTCTATGGTTCTGCTATGGACATCGCGACTTTCCCACACCAAAAATCAGTGGACGCCCTGGGGTCTCAGGGTTGGGTTTCTTCTGGAAGGCTTCTTGTGGTCGGGCCTCTACTGTAGCAGTCTCACACGCCGCAGGCCCCAAGGGGTCGGTGGATGTTCCGATGTTGTGTTCGTTGGTGTCTGAGCTTGCCGTATTGGGTGGTTGCCATTCGCTGGCATGTTGTTGTGTGTTTGTGTGTGGCGTGTGTGTGTGTGTTGCTGTTGTTGTCGTCAAATTTCTCACTGCTGAAGAATAATTGCTGTTGGTCGCTGACCGTTGTATTTTTCAATTGAAGGGCTCCTCCCAGGGCTCGCACCTTGTTTTTATCAGAGAAAGCCACTAGGCTCAAACTGTGCCCCTGGCCCCCGGCTTACAACAACAACGGCTCCCGCCTGCTACTTCCTCACAATTGATTCGTAAATCGCGCTCTCGCGCGGGACTTCCTCACAACGTGTATACGAATCGCGCTCTCGCGTGGGACCTCCTCGCAATTCATTCAGACGATGCGCCCTCGGCGCTCAGGAATCACGCTTTCGCTTTGGCTTTTCTCATGGTGTACTTGGGAATCGCGCTATCTCTCGAGATTTCCTCGCGATTCATGCAGGACCCACGCTTCAGCAACCCGCCTGCTCGACCTGGTCGCCTGGGCCCGCCTTCCCGACCTGCCCGCTATGGGTCTGCCCACTCGATCTGCCCGTCTGGTTCTACCACCACTTGTTTTGTGTTCTGCTCCTTGCCCCCTCTCCTGCTGATTTCTCTTGTAATCCATTCTTGTCCCTCCCCCTTCCACACGTCTTTTCTTCCTTTGGTTTACGGGCTGCACTGAATGCGCGTGGGAGGTAAGGAAGAGATATACCCAAGGGGATACGATCAAAGACGACGAGGGCGGGTACCGAGGGCTTCGTTCATCTTTATTGTCTGACACGTGAGCAGATAGGAGCGAACACTCTGAACATGATTGGTGCTGGTATTGCCATGCTTTGCACATGTCGTTTTAACATTGTTTTATCTTCCCCCCGCCCACGCAATTCTTTGGTACAATTGGAGGTCATATGTGGTTCGTCTGTGTCGTCGCTGTGTTTAGCTATGTGTTTGCTTTTTTTGAAGGGGGGCACTATTGCTTGTGTGCTGGCTTGTTTACTCATGTCTGTGTCCATGCATCTCTTACAAGTTTACACATCTGATAGCCCCCATCCCTCCCTCTCTTATTTGTGTGTGTTTCTTTCTCTCTCCCTCTCTCTCTCTCTCTCCATACATCTAGATCATATAAATCTCTCTCTCCTCCTCCTTCCCTTCGTCACCTCCATCCCCTCCCCACTCCCTCCTCCTCCCCGCTCCTCCCTCTTCCCCTCCTTCTCTTTCCTTCGTTCCTCCTTTCTCCCCGCTTCCCTCTTTCCTCCCTTCCTCCCTTCTCCCTGCTCCTTCTCCTCCTCCGACTCCCTTTCCTCCCCCTTGTCCGCCTCCTCCTTCTCTTTCGCCTCTCTCTCCTCCTCCTCCTCCTCCTCCTCCTCCTCCTCCTCCTCTTCCTCCTCCTCCTCCTCCTCCTCCTCTTCCTCCTGGACGCTGCGCTGCGGACGGGTTCGGCCCTAGCCAGCTTGGTCTTAAGTGAAACCGCGGGGCGCACGCGCCCGAGGCCACGGAGCGCATGCTCGCGACACTCTTGCGATGCCCCGCGTCGCCAGCTCGGACCAGACAGGCAGTGCGCCAGGGCCAGTCCATAGTGCACCAGGCCTTGTTCGCCTGACATCTACATCGTGCAAGGCTGCCCAGCACACGAGCCCACCCCAAAAATCGAGGGGGCTAGCTTGCCAGGGCCCGGGGCAGATGGCGCAGGCACGGTGCAGAGGCCGCCTAAGGCCACAGCACGGCACTTGCCGCCCTTTGTTCCCGTTTCGGCGGGGCGAAAGAGGCGCACGATGTCGACCTTGCCGCCAGCCAGGGCAGTGCGCGCACGCACCACAGCAGAGGCACGCAGTCTGCCATGTGCGGGTGGGTGCTC